CTTTAGAAAACATGTATTTCACTTCTACCTCACTTTTTTGTTTATTGTTTTACTTTTCTTTAAGTTACACCAAAGTTATTTCACCCCCGACGCACTGCTGTACATTCAAAGATCTGGGGTTCAGTTTATTTCCAGTTTCGTTTCCTCCACTGCAGTTTCCAGTCTTCTCCATTTTGCAGTTGAAGACAGTAATATAATCAGCCTTTATGAGTCTGCACTGTGGGATTTTACAAAGCATGGCTGTAAAAAGACACTGATCAGAATCAGAAATAAGTTTTAAGCGAAGTCACCTGAACGCATCTTGATGCAACACAACAAAATTAACCACAATCACGTAAGAGCTTGGAGTTGAACTGTCCTTGAAGGAATAAACACCCACTACTCACTTTTCAACCCACAGGTTCAACTCGTTTTGTGTTGAGAAATGACAGAATTCTAGTCACTTTGGTCAAACCTTTCAAATAAATGTGCACAACATCCTAAGATTTGTCCATCTTGAACTGACTTCTAAAGTTAAATCAGTTGATGTACGTTCAATGATTACTTTCTGAGGGTTTCATTCAAATCTGACCAGTGCTTCATGAGAAATTTTGCTGACAAATATATTATTGCACCCCAACAATGTTCAGTCAGGTCATCTGGATGGTTTATTTTGTTGATGAGATGTTTCATCCTTCATTCTTCAGAGGAGCCACCAAACCAAACAGCTCACTTCCTCTCACTCCTTTGGGCGTTTGTGGGATTCAGTTTGGTTTGGTGGCTCCTCAGACTGAAGAAGTCCTTCAGATGAAACGTCTCAGCAACAAAAGAAACCGTCCAGATGACTGAACATTGTAGATTTATACCTGGATTACTGAGCATGAACTTTATTATCGCCCACCTTTTTACTTTTTGCAGCAAGGACAAACGGCCATCGTGCAGCAGTGAAACGGTGGAAAACATCTTGATGTTGGGTGAAGTCGTGGTTTTTCAGCTACAATCAAACAGACTGTGGGTTCTTTTCACTGTGAAAACAACTATTAACTGTCTCTGTGCTGTCTGCAGCCACTCCTTTATTTTGTCTTTTTTTTTTTTAAGCTTGAGTTTTGAAAGCACAAAAATTGTTCAGCAGCTTTTCTTTTTTATTGATGATCTAAATATTTTCATGTCTTCTTGGCAATGTGTTGGGCACACGATTTAAAAAACGCTGCCGTGTTTCTCCAAAAATGTCTATTTGTTGATCCAAAAATGAAATTCAAATTACGAAGCCGCTTGAGAGGAACGATGGGGAAAGGTGTTGTGACTAATCAGATCACGCTATACGCCGACCGGCTCCGACAGCAGCCACCAAGTCTGGCCTTGCTTACTCAAAGCCAGATGTTTATCCTCGTTGGACGGCCGCAGCGTAAACTATCTGTTCCAGTAAGTTGATGAAAACGACAAAACAATGGTGTGACCAACACCTGGCAGCCTCCCCTTCTGGCCTAGTCGCATAGATTCAGATTGTTTTGCTCCGAAGTGGCGGCCGTGGGCTTTATGGCCTTCTGGGGGTTGAGTTGGACCTGACGTACGACTCCTTCGCCTGATTTCAGTCCTGCACGAAGAAAGAGAGAGAGCTATAAAATCTTTACAGTCAAGGACATGGACGGGGCCACCTGACAGCATGACTGTCAACAGAGCAGTTCCCACTGAGGCAGAGTGAGGCTGTTGTCTTCTTCTGAAATGGTTCAGTAAAAGGCGACTGGACTTCTTGTCTTGATCCATTGTTTAAAACTTTGCCATTAACTATTGGAGTCATGTCTGTCTGTTGGTTAGCAAAATATTCACACATGTCGAACTCAAGGCCCGGGGGCCAAATATGGCCCATGTTTACATCTTATCTGGCCCCCAAGATAATCATTTCATTTTATTGCTTCTCATTTTACTTAAAAACTGAGCATATTTAATTTAGAGCAGACTTGTCATGACAGCTGGCCAACTTTGAAGCCCCCCAAAAAAGTTTGAATTTTTCTACAATCTTTGATTTTGATGCGGAAAGAGCAACAGAGAACGTCTAACTTGTGTGGAGGAACCTACAGCCAAAGATGTCTGGAATCATGGCGTTAACGTACTGACTGAAACTGACCCTTGGTTTGAAATTGTAAATTCGGGCCCCTTTTGTAACGGAGTTTGCCACCTCTGATGGATTTAATAAAAAAAAAAATCAAAAATAATCACTGGCTGTACGTCAACAAGTGAATACATATACTCGAGAGGTGTATAACGTAACAGTGCTTGTGTACAGATGGTTGCTCACGAGCTGATTCCAACAACAGAATAGGTGTCCTCTCATCTGAAGAATGCCAGCCAGTTTGTCGTGCGCAGGCTTAAACAAGAGACTCTAAGACTGCCAACAAACGGGCGATACAGAACAACAATGTGCAGAAAATGTCATGTCACTGCCTGGGTCACGAGGGACAAAAAGCCCGGGATCTGTGGGCTGTTCAAAGCTGACAGAGAAGACTGAGTCGTCTGTGATGAAGGACAGAGAGAAAACACTGAGCGGAGGAGGAGGAGGAGGAATCCTTCATGACACATCAAGATAAAGAATTAAGTTTCACTGTATTGCTGCTTAATTATGCCCCCTGCACTTGTGGATGAAAAAGATCGTGCTCTGTCTCCACATGACAGCTCAGCCCTCACAGGTTGATGCTCATAACTCAGCGCTGTAGTAGAAGGAGACACGTTGTTTATGTTGAAACAAGGTGTTTGAGGCATAAAAATGAGAGGAGGGGTGAGGTGGTGACCTGATCAGCAGCTGTGGAAACACTTTTATTCATATGAGCTCATATTCAAGATCGTATGTAGCAAAATAGCATTTTTTCCTCTCCTTTGAAGTAAATAAAAAAAAACAATGGATTGAGATTTAATTGAGAGAGAAGAAGAAGAGGAGTAGAGGGGTGCTACTAATTATGCGTGACGATTGTTGATGGCTTGATTGTCTGCGCCCAGCTGCACGGAGGAGCAGGGAGAGGGGGTGGAGGGATGGGGAGGGAGGAGGGGGGGCAGACTCACTGACGCCGGCCTCGGAATTCTCCCATCCATTGAAAGAGAGAGCCGATTGTGTCCGGGGCCTTTCCGACAAGCACCTGATCTTCAGTGCTGCGTGTGTGTGCGCGTGTTGGATGGGGAGGGGGGAGGGGGGACTCTGATATCGCTAAACAAATACAAGAGAAGGAGGGGCGACGGGGGGTTGGTTGCTTTTATTTTTATTTTGCCTCTGAATTTGATTTGCGCAAAGATGGCTCTTAATTGTCCACTTAAATCTTATTTCCAGTGTGCTGAAGCTTATTTTACTAACCCCCCCTTCTTAGATCTGGGAAATCAGGAGCAATATTCCCCCCCTCCCTTCTGCTTGACATATTTCAGAGAGCTATTTGAGGTCAAAGTTTTGTTTGGATACACTCGCATAATTCGTCTTTAAAACAGCGCCGGATCGAAGTCCTGTCTCACGGTTCAATATTATGGTTTGCTCTAAAGTGAGTTCGTTGAGTGACTTGTCACACAGGGTCAGCGGTCGGGGTGGGAGGTGGTGGAGGGTTTTGGGCAGATGTGGCTCCAACATCTGTTAAACCTCTAGGGGATATCTGCTGCCGTGCGTATTTACGCACATAGGCGGACAAAGGATGAGAATGTTGCGCTTTTACGCAACTGGAACATCACCTACATTGTTTTTCTGGGGCTTTTGTGAGGCGATGCAATAACCAGGAGACTGTTCTGCAATTAAAACATTACACAATAAAAGGAAGAGTTCATACTGTACCTCATGTTTCTGCAGGCTACCATTTTGGCACGCGCATTCCTTTGAGCAAAATGTGTGCTTCTGCATGTTTGGGGTTTTGCCTCGACATAGTTTACTCTTTTTATTATATTCGAGTGCCGCTTTATTTTTTATTTTTTTTATGAAAGTATAAATGCATCTGCAGACTTTAGAAAAAAAAAAAGTCTAAAATGATCAATATGAGTGACAGCTCCGGCCAGCCAATCGTATCTCCGAGCGCCTCTTCTTCTCTCCACTCCGCTGGTTTCACCCGAGGGGAGGAGGGAGGCGGGGAGTGCGGGCGGTCTGCCAAGGAGGGGAGTGCGCGTCGGGGTGAATGGATGACGTCGGGAGGCTGGCGCCAGCATGTCTGGGACTGGCGCGTTAGATCAACACAGCTGGGCCGGGATAGGACACACAGCTGGCTCTGGCCTGCATTCCTCCACAAAACAGGATTGTGAGAAAAGAGGAAAATAAGTCCCAAATAGGAGCAGAACGGGACGTGCTTTGATGTAAAGTGAAAGGGAGCAGCATTTAAGATTGGTTCAGATCAAATGTAACTTTTTTGGGACAGTTTAACAACAGGGGATATTCTGTCTGACAGTTTGGGCTCATTATGCTGAAGAATAAGACATATGTGGCAACTAAATGTTCACTAAGGAGGCGTAGCATTTCACCATAAGTGGAGTCACTGTTTCTCAGGTGACTGCTTACTCAATAACATCACATGATTGCTGTAGATATAGCTGTTTACGTCTTTTTACCTATATTGCACAAGTGTTTGTCTAAAAACGCTATTATTTAATCAATTTTTTTTTTTTTTTTTGTAAAAATGTCTCCAATTATTACAACAATCGAACAAAATAAGTGTGTTCAAGGACTTGCCAGCTTATTTAACAGAAACACAACAAATTAGCCCTTTTATGCTTGCTGTTGCTGCAAGTTTAAAAGTAAATTTAATCATCTTTCACTGTGGAGTTAAAGGCTTCTTAACTTTGGAAACTTTATCTATTTTAAACAAATAGAGCCACCTGAAAAAGATAACAAACTGACTGACAATCGCCTCCAGTGGTTCTCATCCTGATTTCCTCATTCTTCCAGCAGCGAACATCAGCCAATGAGAAAGCGCTTGCTTTTTGGCATTAGCCAATCAGAAGATGATGCGAAAAGGGGGCGTGTCCGAACGTCTACTGTGTATAAAAGCTGTACCTTGCTGTCAGAACTGCTCAGACCTGCAACCAGGATAAGTAACTAACCAACCAACCAGTGGTGGAAAGTACCCTGCCTGCCCTGAAGCATCCAGCTGTTTTTATTTTTATTATTTCTTCCTCATCATGAAAGCCATCAGTCCCGTCCGCTCTGCCAGGAGCTGCTACAGAGCCGTGTGCTGCGTCTCGGAGCAGAGTCTCGCCATCAACCGGAGTACTAATCCCAAACACTCGTGCGTGGACGAGCCGGTGAGCGCCCTGTGCGACATCAACGACTGCTACTCCAAGCTGAAGGAGCTGGTCCCGAGCATCCCGCAGAACCAGACCGTCAGCCAGGTGGAGATCCTGCAGCACGTCATCGACTACATCTTCGACCTGGAGATGGTTTTATCCATAAAGGTGAGCTGGACGTGGTGCTGCTAACGCTGATAAGTTATTTATGTGCAGCTGGATTATCTGTTTCAATCATGCACATGCTGGAAGGTTGGATGCATTCTGATCATCTCTGGTCCTGATTAGAATTTTCAGCTAAAATATATTTTCTGCTCCTTTAGACTGCTGACATTACTCGAGATTTCCCCAAAGAAGAAGAGCAGCTGTGCCATTAGGATAAAATGGAACATTATGGTATGTATTATCTCTTAAGTTGTATCAAACATGTTAAACATAATATTAAGTCAGAATGACTTAAGAAATACTTATTGTTCAGTCTGTTTAAAAAAGATGCTTTAGTTTAAATGTGGTCTAAAGGAAAGTTTGCTCCACAATATGGTCCTCTACTAGAACAGGCTGTGGAGCAGACTCACTGCTATCTCTGGGGTTAATGAAAGTTTCATGCACGGCGCCAGTCTGTCTGCTCCCCTCTGCAGAGGGGAGGGGAGAGGAGGGGAAAGGTCTGACTTCACTTTTCTTCCTTTCTCCTCCATGCAGGTGCAGGGAAACACATGTCTCCACTTCACTCCGGGCAAGAGGACAAGAGGGGCAGAAAGGGTGGGATAGGTATTTGGAGGAGAAGAAGAGACAGAGGAGGAGGGCTTTAAAGAAAAAGAGTGAGAGAAAAACAAAGCTGTGGACGGTTTCCGAGATGAGCCGGGATCAGCAGCAGTGCACGAAGAACACAAAGACTCATTCTTTGGCTCCTGAACAGACAAATCAACACACCAAAGCAGAAGCCAGGACTGGAAAGTGAAAACGACCAACCGTCTTCCTTGTAAACCTGGGGATTCCTCAAATGTAGAAGTTAAATATGTGTAATGTTTGTTTTTATTTCCCTTTTGTAACGCATTCCAAAAAGAGCCCAACATGAACCTGTCTGAATCACCTCACCTGTTATTCCCCAAGATATATGTTAAAACTAGAGTGTAATACATCTGTACACATGGTGTGAGTCCTTTTGAATGTCTACAGTTTTTTATGGGAGTTTAGTTATAATCCAAACTCTATACTAGAGTTTATTTGAAACGTTTGTAGGGATTGTGTTATTTCTACAGACCACACGTTGTGAGTTTCATAAACTCCTTATTATTAAGGTTTCTTTGTATGTACATTAGGAATAATGATAATAATAAACATGATGTGAAGCAGTTTGGTTGTTGTGGAGTTTTTCTTCTTTTTTTTTTTTTAAGTGAATGAGTTTAGAAGATTTCGTTGACGCTGACATAACTGCCGGTGCTTTGGATGACAATGAAATGCTGATACAACAGGATGTGCTCAGATGAATCTTGAGGTTGGGCGGTTGAAAATCAAACAAAAGGGGAGTTTCCTGTCGGTGCTTCTAATTTTCCATTGAAAGACTAAAAACCAGTTTAAACGATTACATGTTGGAGAAAATGAATGAACCTGGCTCTTTATCAGCTAGAAGTCCTAATTAATAGATGTGACAACACAATGAACAAGGACTTTGCAAGGGAAAGATCATTAAGAACATTTGGTCAGTTTTAAGTTTTGAAACGTGTTTTATCAGGACTGAACATGAATCTGACTGATTTTCCTTTTTAAAAGTTTTACAAAAGTGTAAAAGACTGTAAATGGAAAATATGTGTGCTGAAGTCTTGAACATGACCCACTTCTTGCAACCCACTTACTAAAAGTAGCATTACAGCGCCCTCTAGTGGCACCAGCAACCCCCATGTGAATAATCTGAGCAGTAAAATTGGATACACAGCAGAATTATGTCTTACAATGTTTACATGTTTTATGTAATATCAAAACATTTATGAACTTTGCGTTAATTTAAAGTATTTCTTTCGGTTCCTGCCCTCTGTACAGCTCATGCATGTAAATGAAAGAAAAGCTGACTTCTAATCTGAAACCAATGCAAATAAACCAACAGACAATAATAGTTCATGCTCAGTAATCCAGGTCTAAATCCAACAATGTGCAGTCACGTCAACTGGACGGTTTCTTTTGTTGCTGAGATGTTTCGTCCTTCATCCAAAGGACTTCTTCAGTCCGAGGAGCCACAAACAAACTGGAGTCCCACAAATACCACAATCCCATAGTGAAAAAAATAAAACGACAAAAAACAGTTTGCTGGTGATGAGATGGTTTCTGGGGCCTGCCCTCTCCCCGGGGGTGTAGTCTGCGCGATACGTGGATATACCCACTAGAAAAGCTTAGGAATTTCAGTATAACCACTTAAAAGTGCCCAATGATACATGCCATATCATTAGGCATGTGCCATTGATACTTTAAACAGCACTTAAACACTTCTGTAACAATCTTCCTGTATGCAGCACTTGTTTATTACATTTGCTTATCCAGCAAATTATTGTATAATTCTGTACCTACTACTTAATACTTGAACATGTTTTGTTTTGATACTGTTTTATAAATTCTATAACATGTTTTTACTACAAAGACGACTGTTGTACAAAGTTTGTTGCGCATTTATTCAAATATAAGCATCAGAGAAATTTGGAAATATTCAATATTCTTAAAAATCAAAATAAATTGACAATTACATTGTACTAACCAGTGTACTTTGGTTTCTAAGCACAGTATACCCACTACACAAATGTAGACTACACCACCATGACTGCCCCATCAACTCCTCTGGGGCAGTCATGTTAAATGATAGTGTGGTATTTGGAGGACTCCAGTATGTTTTTGGCTTTTCAGGCTGAAGAAGTCCTTCGGATGAAGGACGAAACATCTCAGAAAAAAAAAAAGAAACCATCCAGATGACCTGACTGAAAATTGTTGCAATGCAAATAAACTTATTTTACTCGAGCAAAAGATGCACGGCACCTGTCTGTTTTACAAACTGAATCTACAGTAGTGTAAACAAATCACTTAATAAACTGTAAAATAAACGTTTGGTTGCTGGTGCCCATGTCCATCTCTGTGTGAAAGGTGGGGTACACCCTGGACAGGTTACAAGTCCATCATAGTGATGGGTTTACTTTAAAGACTGGACTTATGGGAATGGACTGCTGGAGGACACACTGACCACATTTCCCCACTCTGCTGCTGTTTTTCTCTGTACTCCATGTTTGAACCACAAAACAGTTAAATCTGTCTTTTTTGGGGTGGGGGTGGGGGGGGGGAGAAATGTTTAGTCTTTCATCCAAAAGACTTCATCAGTATGACGCCTGCCAACAGGATCCATCCATTATCTTTTACCCACTTCTTCCATTTTGGGTCATGGGGGTCGCCAGTGCCCATGTCCAGCAATCACTGTGCGAGGGGTGGGGGACACCCTGGACAGGTCTCCAGTCCATCACAGGGACACATAGAGACAAACGAGACAAACAACCATTCACTCTCTCACTCTCACCTAGGAATAATTTAGAGTTACCAATCAGCCTAACATGCATGTTTTTGATCTGTGGGAGGAAACCGGAGCACCTGGAGAAAACCCACGCATGCATGGAGAGAACATGCAAACTCCACTGAAAAAGGCCCCTGGACCAGGTTTTGAACCAGGGACCTGCTCGCTGAGAGGCAGCAGCTTTACCAGTTGCGCTGCAGTGCTGCCCCAGAAAACTGCATGGGTTTACACATGGAAACTGGAGGAATTCCACTTCAGACTGGTTTGAAACACGTCAACAAGGTGCTACTCAGTACGACAGATCCTGGTGGCAGGCCTCAGACTGATGAAGTCTTTCGGATGAATGACGAAACGT